CAAGATCCAGCTATACTCTTCTTGGGCATATATCCAAAAGATTTTCCATCCTACAAGGACACTTGCTCAACTATGTTCATTGTGGCCTTATTCATAATAGCCAGAAATTGGAAACAACCTAGATGTCCTTCAAGAGAAGAATGGATGACAAAAATGTGGTACATTTACACAATGGATTGTTACTCAGCTGCTAGAAAAAACAATGACATCATGAAATTTGCAAGCTGATGGATGGAACCAGGGAAAAAAAATCATCTGAGCAAGGCAACCCAGACCCAGAAAGACAAGCATGGGATTGGCTGTCTAGTTCAGCAGCAGAGAACCTGTCTATGTGAATTAGGCTTGGATACACGCTTCTGAACCAAAGAAAAAATAAAGCAGCAGAATCTCATGACTACTAGACCACACACACTCTTTATTTTGTATCCCCAGTGTTAGGCTGCTATGTTTTTCAGAGATGCTAAAACACTTTTCAGATTTTCATACTCCATGGTGGTTTGAATAGGAATGGCCCCCAAAGACTCAAGTGTTTGAATGCTTCTTCGCCGATTGAGAGTGGCACTGTAAGGAGGTGTGACTTTGTTGAAGTAGGTGTGGCTTGTTTTAGTGTGTCACTAGGGGGTGGGCTGGGAATTCTCCCAATCTTAAAGTATGCTCAGTGTGGTACACAGCCACTTCTGCTGCCTATGGATGAAGATGCAGAAGTCTCAACTACCTCTCCAGCACCATGTCTGCCTGCATGCCACCATATTCCTGCCATCACAATAATGGGCTGACCTTGTGAAACTGTAAGCCACCCCAGTTAAACATCTTCCTTTGTGGTCATGGTGTCTCTTCACAGCAGCCCTAATTAAGAAGTCACCACTGACTTGATGAAACTAAGAGACTTTACGTGTATATTGTGATTGGCACATGTGTACTGAAAATACATTGTTTCAATAAAAAATTAAGTACCATAAAAAAACAAAAAACAAAAAAACACACTTGTCCACAATAGTTCATAACCTGGGAAACCATTTGCTAGTCCCTTAAAGGTTAAACATAGATCTGCCATATGGCTAGCCCCCCAGGTTTTCCTAACATGAAATGGAAGCACATGTCCCTAAATGATGTAGATAAGAATGTC